TTGCAGCTGACCAGAAAGGTAAGCAGTAGCATGTTAGTGATGTTGTACACCTAGTTGAATAATAGCGGCCAGTGGAAAAGCAGTCAGACGGAACAGCCGAACGGCCAGGCAATTGACATTTTGGCCATTGAGAACTGGTGCAGCGGGAAAGGTTTGTAATTCTTCCATACTCCGCACAGAAATAGTGAATTCCTTACTATACCTCTGAACTTTTGTTCCCGTTTAATCCCATAACCCCAGCCAAAAATGTGCCAACCGAGATTGAATGCGTAATGTTTGAAGGGATTGATGGTAAACCAATGTACGCCCTAGCTGGCAGTCTTGACCAATCCAAAGGCTACTTTGTAAGTACGCTAACCGTCAAGCCGATGAATGGTGAACGTAAAACGAGAAAGCCAAACCTACTGGTCGCCGAAAGGCGGCCAAACCGCCCAACCGCACGGACGTACAAAATCGGCCGACGCGCAAAGAGAAAGCGATGGAAGGAAATCGCACAGAGATCCCGAGGCCCGGGCGTACACCTAAGCCCGTGAAAGTGCAAGGCAAAGCCGAACCCCAATTGTTGGGTAACCGTTCAACAGCCAGCTGTGGTGGGGTGAAGGGGCGGGGAAATGAGCCGTACGGCAGGCAAAGAAATCAAGCGGCAAGCGGCCTTAGTAGACCACACAGGGAGCCAGCGACCGGGTTTAACGTCTGTATGGGTAAGCCACGAAAGGCCAACCTGCGCCGATTAAGTGCACCCAACGCCTACGCGCCTAGCTAACTGGCGCGGTAGCCGCATGGAACGCGATATGGGAGCCCCCCCCCCCCCCAGCGATCAAATACAACCCGGCTGTTTCGGAAAGGCGGGGGGGGGGTGGGGTATTAGCCTGTTAACACAACTGAAGCAGCTTGCAGGTAGAAGCATAATGTAAAGCGTGTTGAATCGCAATCCGCAAAGGTCACGGATTTCGCCTTTTACTGAAGATTTCCGTGTGGGGGATGCAATGCAATGTGCCCATATAGACAGTCTTACAGCGCCTCGTTCTAGGGGCGGTTACAGTGAAGGAGAAAGTCATCCTGACAGACCCTGTACGCCAAATAAGCAAACATAGCTGGAGCAATAACATGAAGGACTTTACAGCATAGCCGCCCTTCCTTCGCCCAATTAGCAGTTGTAAGTATGTAACCTAATAAAAGCACACCTACTGATAGGAAGCAAGTACGTCAACAATGTCGACTTATAATCCCAGGCTACTCGCATTTGTCTCGTCCCGATTTTTACTGGCACCCATTCGGATGTAGTGGCACCAACGCTGACTTTTTGGAGCCTGCATGACAGGAAACTTTTAATCCAGTTAAAAATGCTGCCCTGTATTCTACACTCCCAAATCTTCTGTAGGAGTCGTCCATGAGGAACGCTATCAAACGCCTTCTTAAAGTCAAAGAAGATGACGTCCACTGGACGGCCCTGGTCTATGGTTCTTGTCCACTTTTCCTGAGAGTTAAGACTGCTTATAAGACAGGAGTGACCACGCCGAAATGCGTGCTGAACAGCACATAACAGGTCCCTCTGCTCCGGATACGACATTAAATGCCCTTTAATAAGTCGTTCCATTACCTTGCATAGAATGCAGGTTAAACTAATAGGACGGTAATTTTCGGGCTCCAGTCTGCATCCTCCTTTATAGATTGGAGAAATATGGGCCGTTTTCCACTTCTCCGGCAGTTCGCCTTCGTCCATGGACTTTCGAAATATCATGGACACCGGCTAGCAGAGTACATCATCTAATTCTCGGAGGACAAGTGGATGAATTCCATCTGGACCAGGTGATTTGGCAGGTTTCAGCCGGCGTAGTTCGGTCCTTATCAACGTGCGTGAGAAGAAAAGATTGTCTTCCAATGCAGGACGGTCTACATAAGGCATGGCAGGAGGGTTTGTGTCATGAGTGAATACCGACTGAGAGAAATTGGAGAAGGCTGATGCTTTCAGATGGTCATCTGTCTCAGTTACACCGTTTTGGGATCTTAGCGCTGGAATCGGTTCACGATTGCTCTGTCCATTACGTATGCAACTATAGAGGATTTTAGGATACTACAAGGAATTTGCAATAAGCACAGCTCATAGTTGCCTTGAAGTCTATGAGCCTCGTGTTTACACGCATTCCGCTGTCGCATGTATTCCTTCAGATCTTCAGAACTGTCTGTTTGTCGATAGCGTCTCCACACTTTATTTCTCCTCCTAAACGCGGTTTAAGACGGACGTTTGGTTGTTTTCTTTCGTCTAAGTGGACAGTTTATATCAACGATTTGTTTTACCAGTGGGCTGAACGTGCTCCATTAGTCATTAACTGTTCCCTGCAATGTGGTTGTCCACGGTATTGCAGAGACTTGCGTCCGCATGCTAGGAAAATCCCCCTTCCGGATATTTGTTTGTAATTGTTCAGGTGAATTAGGCTGGGAGAACAGGGACTACTCGAAGAGCATCACAATATGATCACTAGCACCAATTGGCGGGAGATCTTGTATATCCAGCACACTCTCCTCATCTCAAGTGAGCACCAGGTCGAGGCAGTTTGAACGTTGCCCTTCCCTTACACGTGTCCTGAGAGTTAAATTCTGAAAAAGCAGGTTTTCTGCTGCCAATTCAAGCAAATATTGTCCGAATGTGTTCGATGGACCCGAAACCGCCCAAGCTTGGCAGTCGATATTGGGGGTGTTAAAGTGCCCGACAAAAAGGACGTCTCTGTTCGAGCAGGTCTTGTTCAGTTCCCTTAGGAGAAGGCTATCGCGTTCGGAAATCTGGTTTGGGGGACGATACACAACTGCAAAAGATAAGAATTCCATTTCCGCTGTTGTTGTTGGATTATGCTCAGGGACCGCGGTTAGGTTGTAGCTAACATAACAGCGACCCCTCCTCCTCGGCTTTTCCTGTCTCTTCTGAACAGTTGGTAGCCTTTGAGGCATACCTCATGATCTCCAACAGCTTCTGAAAGCCATGTTTCTGTCAAGGCGATGATATCTGGTGTGTGCTCGTCGATCAGAGTCCTGAGTTCATCCATCTTGTTAAGCAGGCTCTGCACATTCGAAGAGAGCACCTTCAGTGTCCGTCTTCTTGGGGGAAACTGGCCCTGATTACAAAGGGGGTTAGCCACAGGAACGATCGCTTGATCTGTATTAGCTTGCCTTCCTTTATTTTCAACCCCTTTTCCCACTCTTCTGTCCCTCTTTTCTGTTCTGTCCAGCGCTCCCTCATCTTGTGTCTTACTGTCGGTTCGTAATCCGGCTGAAAAAATACTTCCTTATGCGAATGACGAAGAGCCATCCTCCCTTCTAGGAGATGTGAGGCCTTTGGTTCATTTGCAAGAATGATTTTAAGAGGCCTTGGTAATGCACGCGACGCATCTGCGTTTCTTAGACGGAAAGCTTTGTGCACGGTAACACATTATCCGCCCAGAAAGAGGGCATTTGAATATGTTTGAAAGAGGTTGAGATCGTGTTCGATTCTTTCTTTTGCAGTCGACGAACTGGACTCAGGAGCTCACTTTATGACGATGTTTCGTTCTCGGTAGAGATGCCTGTTTGGAAGAGAGTCCCTACGTCCCCAGCATTCCCCGTGTGTTTTCTGCTATTTGAACTCCACTTTCAACTTGCCCTGTTTCATTTCCGACAAACAAGAAATGCGCAAACTTGGAGTAAATCTATCCGAATGGGCTCCCTCAGGCACGCTCCAAACTTTCCTATAAAAATTTCAGCTAAAATCCATCAGCTACCGCTTCATATTAACAAACTGCCAACAGGCAGCCAGTAGTATAGAACTGTGCAAATGGTTTACCGTACTAACAACACAGGTATTAGCTAAAAGCCCAAACACGCGTCTTTCGCCCATCTTATGCCGCTGCCTGACGCAGCTGCCAGGGCTTCGGCTCAACAGTCGGTCCCCCAGCATTCCCCGTCTCTTTTATGCTATATGAACTCCAGTTTCAACTTGACTTATATCATCTCCGAGGAAATGAATGCGCGTACTCACAGTAAATCATTCGAAACAGGCGTTTTCAAGCACGCTGAAATGTTCGGTATGAATATCTGAACAGAAATATATCAGCTAGTGCGGTAATACCGCTTGAAATTCAAAAACTTCAAACAGGCAGCCAGTATTATAGAACTGTGCAATGGTTTACCGTACTAACAACACAGGTATTAGCTAAAAGCCCAGACACGCGTCTTTCGCCCATCTTATGCCGCTGCCTGACTCAGCTGCCAGTGTTTCTACTCTTCAGTGTGTCCCCCAGCTTTCCCCCTCTGTTTTCTGCCATATGAACTCCAGTTTCAACTTGCCTCCTTTCATTTCCGAGGCAATGAATGCGCGAGCATGGAGTAAATCTTTCCAAACGGGCATTGTCAGGCACGCTCCAAAGTCTGTTATGATTATTTGAACTGAAATCCATCAGCAACCGCTTAATATTCACAAACCGCAAATATGCGTCCAGTGTCGTATTAGTGCGCAATTAAAGTAAACCCCAGGTAAGCTGAATGTTGCCTTGTTTCTTTGCCTGCAATGAGCTATCTCACCTTCTAGACAACCTACCCATTGCCCTTTCCGCCTCTGCGCTGTCGACATCCGTTAGTGTCGACTGCGGGACACCGTAAATTCAACTGCGCTAGACGTCCTCGTATGTGCACGCCGCCAACTTCATCATCGACTGCGCCAGCTGCAGGACGCCTGGACTGCTCGCAAAGCTGAGGAGATCCAATGCTACGCGGAACGCATCGAATGGAAGAACTTCTTGCCGATACAAGCGAAAATGCGAGTTCCAGGAACTAGTTGATCAATAGAAGAAGCGATCGCTGGAACAATGGCTTTATTCGCCTGACGTTTCGGATTCTCTCTTGAATCCATCATCACAGACAGTTGCAGAAAAGGGTGGCTAGTGTACAGGAAGTCGCAGTATTTATAGGATGTTTCTTGACTTCTGCCGGAAAGCCAATGCGGCTTCCGTCGTCATCGTGGGACCACGGATATGATCTTCGCCGCCCGCCAACTTCAGGAGAAGTGCCAGGAGATGCGGACCCACCTGTACTCTACCTTCGTGGACCTGACGAAAGCCTTCGACACGGTGAATCGTGATGGACTGTGGAAGATCATGCAGAAATTCGGCTGTCCGGAGCGATTCACTCAGATGGTGCGTCAGCTGCACGACGGTATGATGGCGCGAGTCACGGACAACGGAGCTGTCTCAGAGGCATTTGCAGTGACCAACGGAGTGAAGCAAGGATGCGTGCTGGCGCCTACCCTCTTCAGTCTTATGTTCGCTGCCATGCTGATGGACGACTACCGCGACGAACGCCCGGGGATCCGACCCGCCTACTGGACGACGGTCACCTGCTGAATCAACGGCGGATGCACTTCCGATCGCGCGCGTGGATATCCACCACCGTTCACGAATTCCTCTTCGCCGACGACTGCGCCCTGAACACCACCTCGGAAGAGGAGATGCAACGAAGCATGGATCTGTTCTCCGCCGCCTGCGAGAACTTCGGTCTGGTCATCAACACACAGAAGACGGTGGTGATGCATCAACCGCCACGCCACTCAGCCACAGCCCCCAATGAGTCGCCGCAAATCAGCGTGAATGGGACTCATTTGCAAGTGGTAGAGAACTTCCCGTTCCTGGGCAGTGCCCTCTCCCGCAACAGCAAGATCGACGACGAAGTCGCCAACAGGATCTCGGAAACCAGTCAAGCCTTCGGTAGCCTCCAAAGCACAGTTTGGAATCTTCACGGACTCCAACTCAGCACGTAGGTGAAGGTGTACAAGGCCGTCATCCTGCCGACGTCACTGTACGGAGCAGAGACATGGACGGGGTACGCAAAGCAGGCACGTCGTCTGAACCACTTCCACCTCAGTTGTCTTCGTCGTATCCTGAGGCTAAAGTGGCAGAATCGAATCCCCGACACTGATGTGCTGGAACGGACGGGAATCCTCAGCAGCTACATCATACTGCGACAAAAGCAGCTGCGTCGGAGCGGCCAACTAGTGCGCATGGATGACGAGCGACTACCCAAACGACTCTTCTACGGAGACGTCGCCACGGGTTCTCGCCGTCAAGGAGGCCAGATTCGCCGTTACAAGTATACCATGAAGTCCTTCCTGAAATGACTGCAAGACAACCACACCAACTGGGAGGAGCTCGCACTCGATCGACCGACCTGGAGGAGGACAGTGAAGACAGGTGCTGCGATCTACAAAGCCAACCGCATCGCAGCCGCCAAAGCGAAACGTGAAGCCCGCAAATCACAGCTTCGCCCAGTAAGCAACGCCACCGCACAACGGCTTCCAACGTGTCCTCGATGTCAACGGACATTCCGGGATAGAATCGGACTTGGTGGACATCTTCTGATCAACTGCGCCTCTCGAACGGCACCAACCATCTTCCCCCCGCCTGCCTCTTCCTCCTC